GAGAGAGAGAGAGAGAGAGAGAGAGAGAGAGAGAGAGAGAGAGAGAGGCATAAGAGCATGAAAATGAGTTATTTGGAGTGGAGAGGAATATAAGCATGTTTAGCATGTTTAATGTTGTGGGCAGGGTGGGCGCTATGAAGCAGCTGGGGTTGTTAAAGAAATTAGCCCCACCAAAGAGGAACCTGGTGCTCTGCATTGGCAGGGGAAAAAACTGGCTTCCAGTTCCCTGAGGACAGAAGCCTAGTGAGGAGCTCACTAATGAAAGTGCAGATTCATTTGGAAGGAGAGAGTTGAGCCGAGCATGACTTGGAAGGAGTCCCCTGCCTAGGAAAGTGCCTTCCGAGCCCCAGCTGATAAAATACAGAAAGGTCCCCACAGCTGCAAAGCAGGGCCAGCTCTATCTGGAGCCAGCAACGGAGCTTGGCAACATTTCAAGAGCGAGGGGTTCATGGAGATTTGCCCCAAAGTTCCAGAGAGTCCCTGTGCCCATGCAGTGTGCCAGTGGCCTGGGTTTCCCACAACAAGGTCCTGGTAGGTGTTGCTTGAAGCTGGGAAAGTGGAGACCCCTCCCCAGGGTGTTGGTGACACCAAGGCTCTGGGAAATCCCGCGAGGAAAGCTGCGGGCATGAAGTGGAGCCAGCCCAAGAGAAAGACTTAGTGTATCATAGGTAACAGAGCTGGAGGGCCTGGAGTAGCCAAGACTTTCGGAGCCCAGATGATTCCATGATAGCTCCAGATGCCAGGCATGGACATGGAGGGTTTGGTGGGTGCTGGTCTTGCTGTAGCTCGCCTTTTCCTTGCTATATGCCCATCCTTTCCTTTTGGAATGGAAATGTTGACCTTGTGCCATTATCGTCTAGAGGTGAGAGATTACCTCTAGTCCCAGAAGGCTGCAGAGATGGTTGGAAGAGATGAATGTTGCATGACAAGGTAGCCATGAGCCCATGGGGCCCAGGGACAGAATGTCATATTTTGAATGCGAAATGCCCCCCATAGGCTCATGTATCTGAACATATGGTCCCCAGCTGGTGAGATTGTTTTGGAAGGCTGTAACACATCTTAGGGGGAAAGCTTGGCTGTAGGGAGTTGTTCACGAAGGAGCGGGCAATGGGCTTTGGTCGCCCAGCTCTATTTCCCGCCAGCTCTCTGCTTCCTGACTATCTAGGGATCATGATCAGCTTCTTCTACCATGCCTTCCCCACCATGATGGATTGTGTCTCTTCTTAAACCACAGGCCCAAACAAGCCATCCTTCCTTGTTTTTGACAGGTATTTTGTCAGCAATTAAAAAAAAAAAAAACCTAATATAAGCATCACCAAGTGAAATATGATTAACCCACTTTTTAAAACTCAGATAACTTGAGAAACCTTTGATATAAAATATGCCAGGGTCCATAAACACATCTGTTGATTACCTGCTATGTTCTTCAGGCTAGGCTGGCAGAGCTAAGCCTTATGGCGCCGTTAACCTGCGGAAGCCTTCAGTGGCTTACCACCAACAGGCTAAAAAGCCAAAGCCTACAGAGTCCAGTCGTGGATGCCACTGGCGCTGCTCTCTGAGTAGACGTACATAGAGCTATTCCTTTGGTATTATCAGATACGTAGCTGGTAACTGGAGTATTTTATGCCTTCTTTCATGGCTTTCAAGGCGTTGTGAGAACATACTGTCTCAACCCTTTCCCTAACATCTGACCCTCGCTTCCACACTCCCTCTGCTTGTCCACACAGAGGAACAGGGGCCAAGAGAGCAGACATAACGGAGGAGGGGCAACAGAAACGCTTGCTCTCCCATCCAGCCTGTGAGTTCCCTCTGCTCTCCCATCCAGCCTGTGCGTTCCCTCTGATCAGGCTTCTGGAAAGCAAAATTCAAAGCAAAGACCCAAGATCTTACCCAAGCGTTTTCTAGTGGGAACAGATTAAAGTTCGTTTAGTTTTAGGCGAGGAAATTGTTGGAGGTTGTTAGCAATCAGGACACAGGCTTCCCCTGGGAGGGCCTGGTGAGAATAAAGGAGCCACGGTGAGCTCTGGATTCCGCTGAGAATCCACTTCTCTGCCTGGGTTAAGGGGATGCACAAGGGAGCGACTCTGAAGGTCTACAGAGCACTTCTCAGGATGCAAAGAGGAATTTCACACCACCCCTAACTCTGTACGATTGTTTTACTACATGTAGCAGCAATTAAAAAACAAAAAAGCCAACATTAAATCCCAATGCTTAAATCCATGGCAATGAACGAATACCTTGAATTTTCCCATTCGTGGGTCTTTCTGCTGAAAACAAACAAACCCTGGCCACCCCTGTGTAGAGTATTTAAGGCTAAAAACTTCAAAAACAGCCGTTCTCTCCTGGTTTCCATTCTGTTCTTGCCCCAACCCCTCCCACACACACGCTCGTGGGATGACCTCACCTGATTTTTATATAGAAAATTGAGTCCATCTGGTGTTGACTCCCTCCAGCCCCCTCATCTCTATTTGAATGCAATCTGGGGGCCCTTTGTCTCCCCTTTTCCTTCCCTCTGATGCTAAGGAAAATGAGCCCCACCTCCTCTTCCCCTCTGTTTGGTCTCTGTCCCCAGGGACACAGGAGTGCCCTCTTCACCCACAGACTGCTGTGGGGTGGGGGGAGAAGCTGAGTCTCTTCCTGCACCCTGGAGACACCTTGAAGAGAATGTTGTCCCCTGGGGTCCGAGTTCTCACTCTACGCAGTTTGACCCTGGATTTTTGTGTATTTTCTCTTAGTTTCCATGCATGGGTCTGACTTTCAGTAATTTTCAAAGTTAGATGTTTCGGCTTTTACAAATGATGGAATGGACTGACATCCTCAACTACTTCTGACTACCTAGAACCTTCCAACCACAAAGTAGATTCTCAGAGTGCTAGTTCAGTCATGGCTTTCTCTCCTTTACAAGACTCCAACCCCCCCCCCCAAAAGTAGCTAACCGGGAAGTGCCAGGTGCTACCTGGCTTGGATTCTACATGCTGGAGGCCCAAGACCAGCCCTTAATGACAAAAGGTCAATTTACTTAATGATACATTTTCCTAAAATTTATAGTCGTACACTTCACTCTGTTCACACGCTGAATGAGCCTCTGACCTTCGAACTGCCCCAGCCCTTCCAGTGTCTGTGGGATTCTCATGAGCACTTCCCTGAGGAGTGGAGCACAGTCTTCTCTGAGGAGTGGAGCACAGTCTTCTCTGAGGAGTGGAGCATAGTCTTCTCTGAGGAGTGGAGCACAGTCTTCTCTGAGGAGTGGAGCACAGTCTTCCCTGAGGAGTGAAGCACAGTCTTCCCTGAGGAGTGGAGCACAGTCTTCTCTGAGGAGTGGAGCACAGTCTTCCCTGAGGAGGGGAGCACAGTCTTCCCTGAGGAGGGGAACACAGTTTTCCCTGAGGAGGGGAGCACAGTCTTCCCTGAGGAGGGGAATACAGTCTTCCCTGAGGAGGGGAGCACAGTCTTCCCTGAGGAGGGGAACACAGCCTTCCCTGAGGAGGGGAGCACAGTCTTCCCTGAGGAGGGGAGCACAGTCTTCCCTGAGGAGGGGAACACAATCTTCCTTCCTCAGTGGGGCACCTTGTCCCAGGCACAGCCTACACGAATGGTCCCCATCCATTCCTCCAGAGATACTTTGGATAACTTTAGAGGCATGTCTATTTGCATGCTTTTTATAGCATCCTTTAGCTGTTTCCCAAGGTCCCTCAACTTTAGTTTCATGTTTTCAGGCCAAATTGACAAATTCTTAGGATTCACCCAAGGTATCAAATTTATGTCTTTGAAGTGTTCCCCCCCCTTTTCACTGTTTAAAATTTGATTTATAGAACGTGATACACTATAAAAAATTATAGCACACAAAGGGTTTGTCAAATTAAGGAGACCTGCCCAGATAGTTAGAAGAGACAAAAGGAACCATATGGTAGAAGGCGAGAACCAATTCATGCCAATGGCTTTGTGACCTCCACATGCCCACTATGGTTCCCCATAAATAAATGTAAAAAAAAAAAGTTGAAATATAAGCTCATTTCATGAAATCATGGGGGAGTGGGCACAAAATACTTATCAATATAGCCAATCTTATTTGTTTGCATTTTTAAAGTTTTATGATCCCCGCGTCTTCCTGGGACCCACACTCGCCAAAGGCTGAGATAACTGAAAAGGCTGCTGGTAATAGAAGTGTCTTCTTCTCAGAAGAAGACAGGCACTCCTCGGGATAATAAGATACGGGAGCTGTGCCAGCAGCGCAGGCTGGCTGGGATGTCTCGGATAACCCACCTGGAAGCCATATGGCCGCAGCGGCTACTTCCCTCGCTATCACATGGGTCTGAAGCTCCCGTATCTCTCTAGCAGCCCGGATGGGGGAAGCAGGGAAGTCCACTCCAGAGGTCCACACCACAGCCTGGCCATGCGGGCAAGGTCATGGCTGAGGGCTACTGATTTAGAGAGATGGAGGGTAAAGCATTTATGACTTGGGAATTCTTTCTATTCATGGACAGCAGACAGGCATGGGAGAGCTGCTGAGGAGACCAAGAAGCAGGAATGTCCAAGAAGTGTGTGTAAGGAGCTGAAGGAACCAGGCAGTGGTGGTGCATGTCTTTAATCCCAACACTTGAGAGGCAGAGGCAGGCGGATCTCTGTGAGTTCAAGGCCAGGCTGATCTACGGGGTGAGTTCCAGGACAGCCAGGGCTACACAGTGAAACCCTGTCTCGAAAAACCAAAAAAGAGAGAAAGAGAGAGAGAGAGAGAGAGAGAGAGAGAGAGAGAGAGAGAGAGAAAGGAAGAAAGAAAGAAGAAACTGAAGACTCACAAGTGATCCTCCTCTGGGCTGAGGGGAAACAGGGCAGACACCTCCCAGCTACCTTCTACTTCAAACAGGTCAACTTCATCACTCACATGATTAAGATCCTTCTGGAAGAAGCTTTCACTTGAACAAGAAAATGAGATAGACCAGCTTATGCCTACAACCACACAAAGGGTGCTAAAGACTAAGACAGAAACCAAGCGAAGAGATGACAAACTAGACATGTCCAAAATCATCTGAGAAAGGAAAAGTGGTTGGCTGTATGGTGCCAGCATAGCTGAGCTGCTGAAGCCGTAATGGCATGAAGGAAGCTGAGTGTGTTCCAGAGCCTGGGCAAGGCCTGCATTGGGGGCACAGGCACCTGCAGAGGGAAGGGAAAGGATAGGTTAGTTAGGCCATGCAGAAGTGTGGGCAGGGCAGGATTAAAGCCTGGGCACCACATAGATGTGCTCCAGTGTCGGAGAGCAGCTTCAACAAGGATACCACTCACCAGGGTAGGGGCGTGGGGATCAGAAAAGTAGTAAGTAGAACAAGGAAGACACGGTGAAAATAATAAGACAGGAACATAGGACAGTACCGGGAGGGAGTTCCAGTGAATACTGAATCCGCCTGTGCTTAATTTTCCGTACACTTTCATACCCCGATACAACGGGCAACGGGGGTGGGGGGTGAGGGGGCTGGGGAGAAGACGAAAGACAGGGCTTTAACACGATACAAAGGACAACTACAACAGTTACTTGCTTCAATACTTTGAGACATCAAGTCATTAGCATTCTGTTGTTTAGGCAGTGAACCCACCCTAGACCACGTATTCTGGAAGCAGCCATTCCTATGGGCAAACTTCCTATTTCAAAAGAAGGACCAAAGTATGCTTGAATATCCTGACCATTGGTCAGGGTGGAGTGGATCTACCTGTAATGTCCAAAACACCAAGTAACCACACCCTAGGTCAGGGTGTGTAGTCACACTTGTTGCCAACAACTTTGAACAAGCTAAAACTCTCTGACCTTCAGACAAGGTAGAAATAGGCTCACATTTTGGGACTTCCACACTCCAGGTTCTTGGTCCAGCATGCACAGCCGGGGAATGACCCTCCCTCACTCTTCAGAAGACAGGAAGGATCCTGGCTGGGAATGGGTTGGCAAAAGTCAGCCGGATGTTCAGGAGGAGGGTCCTCGTCCATTCTCCATGTTTCAGTCTGAGACTACGGATAGCCGTTCTCAAGGAAAACCACTGAATGCATAGTTCCTGATGACTGGGTGTCTGTGGTGGTGAAAGAGGGATGACAGAATTTTTCCAGAATGCCTGGGGCTAAATGTGTGGCAGTTTCTATAAAACTAAGTAAATATGAATTGGGCGATTACTTAAAGGGTATGTATGAGAGGAGAAATAAAATTATAACATGTCTTAGCTGTGGACAGTATCTGCATTAATCATAATGACAATATAAATATTAATGGGGGAAAAGCCCTGATTATAAGGCAGTTGAGAGTATAGGGAGGAGTGTATGGTAGTTGATACTATGTAACAGACAGTCAAGGGTGATTTCTAAATTTTATGTTTTTCATTTTAATTGAAATCATAAAGAGTAATTGCATTGGTCACTTTTCTCATTGCTGTGACAAAATGCCCAACAATAGCAATTTAAAGTGTGAAGGGCTTGCTCCGTCCCACAGAGTAAGAAAGGGCAGAGTCTACCGTGGTGAGGAAGGCTCGGCAGCAGGAGTTGAGGCAGCTGGCCACAGTGCACCCCAAGTCAGGACGCAGAGAGTGGGGTGGGGGACTACTCTAGCAGTGTGAATGAGAACTGTCCCCATTTGAACGCTTGCTCCCCAGTTGGTGGTGGTGTTTGGGGAGGCTCTAGTGCAGTGGTTCTCAACCCTGCTAATGCTGGGACCTTTAATACAGTTCCTCGTGTTGTAGTGACTCCCCAGCCCTAAAATTATTTGTGTTGCTACTTCACAACTGTACTTTTGCTACTGTTAGGAATCATAATGTAAATATCTGATATGCAGGATATCTGATGTGTGACCCGAAGGGGCCGAGACCCCCAGGTTGGGAATCACTGTTAAAGAAGCTTTAGGAACTACAGCCTTGCAGAGGAAGTATGTCACGGAGCGTTAGCCTTTGAAAGTTTAGATCCTTGGCCCACTTCTGGCTCACTCTCTCTGCTTTCTACATGTGGTTAAAAATGTCAAATGTCACCTCTCAATTCCCTGCTGCAGCCACCTGCTTCCCTGTCTCCTTGCCTTCTCTCTCTCTTTCTCGCTCTCTCTCTCTCTCTTTCTCTCTCTCTCTCTCTCTCTCTCTCTCTCTCTGGAACTATAAGCCAAAATAGATTCCTTCTCCACAGAAGATCACTTTTAGTTACAGTGTTTTGTACAGCAACAAAAAAAAATAATAATAAGTACAGCTCTAAAGCCCAAACCCCGCCCCCCACAGTGACGCACTTCCTCTAATGAGACTCACGCTCCTATATGGTCCACATCCAGCCAAAGCAAGGCCACCAGCTAAGGACCAAGAGTCCAAGCACACGAGCCAGCAGGGAACCTTCTGTAATCCAACTGCAGAAGTAGTATGAGCACACTGTGCAGAAATGTGGCGTACAAGAGAGCTTGGGCAGCCTGCCTCCTGAGCCGTGGGAATGGAGAACAGAAACCAGCTCAGGAAAGCGAGGCTACGGAACTCCTTCCTTCCCTGGAAGCCACAGCACATCATTTGACTTTGAAAATTATACACATAGATTACTTCAGCAAGAATAAATTACATTTTGAAAAGGAATTTGTCCGACATTCCTGAGTATTAAGTGTTTGGTGCATGTGTGTGCTCTCGACGGAGAGGGCCTAGACCACGGCTTCGCTCCTGCTAATTGCCTGCAGATGTGAAAGTTTCTTCAGGGTAGACGAGAAGGATGGCAGAAGCCACAGCGTGTGACTGGCTGGAAGTCGCCCCATCCTGCCTTCCAAGTTGAAAGGGCACAGCTGCTGGCGACCGTGGAGCCAAGGCGCAGGATCTTGCTATGCATATTTGTATCCTAGCCCTGAGCCAAGAGGCACCTGCCTTCCTGCTGCTCCGACCGCTTGGGGTTTGCAGGCTGCCTTTGGGCCAGTCATGTCTGTCTTCTCAGCAGTGTGATCTTTGCGTTGGCACATTTACTGAATTTTCTACACATTTTTTTCTCAAGATATGGTTGGTGGTGATATTTTTTCCTCCATTTTTATTTGTCTTTCAAAATATTTTAATGAGAAGACAGGAGAGACTGCGCTGAAACTTCCAGATAGTTTTGAAACAAAATGTAGAAATTTCCAAATCTGCTCATTTAAAAAATGTATATATTCTATTCAGTGATTGTTTAATGTATAGAGATTTTTTGGTTTTTTGAGACAGGGTTTCTCTGTATAACCCTGGCTGTCCTGAAAGTCACTCTGTAGACCAGGCTGGCCTTGAACTCAGAGATCCACCTGCCTATGCCTCCTGAGTGTTGGTATTAAAGGCATGTGCCACCACGGCCCAGCTAGACTTTCTTTCTTTTATTTTTAGTTTATTTATTTATTCCGCCTGCATGTATGCCTGCGGGTCAGAAGAGGGCACCAGATCTCACTATAGATGGTTGTGAGCCACCAAATAGTTGATGGGAATTGAACTCAGGACCTCTGCAAAAGCAGACAGTGCTCTTAACCGCTGAGCCACCTCCTAATCTTTCTGTTTAATTCCATTTTGCTATTTGTATTCTGGATCCTTCTCAATTTTTCTGATATAATTTCTCCATTATTTCATTAATATTTTAATATTATATCATCCTTAAGCTGACTCCTGTAAATAGCACCAGATATATTTTATGTATTCAGAGAACACCTTTAAACAAGAGGCTGAACCTTTAGTTTGACATCTCCGTGTATCACAGCTGAACTACTGGGCTTTAGTTTGATCACCATGTTCCGTGCATTCTGTCCACTGAATTTCCTCATTGTTCCCTGAAATATTCAGTTCGTTTTCCCTTCTTTTTCTCTGGTTTTCCTGTGGGCCCTTCTTGCTTCTGTCACTCCCAAAATGAGAAATCAAGACTTCCCAGAGTGGGTTCTATGTTTTCATTCTTTGAGACCATCTATTCTATCTCCAGGCCTTAATTATTCTACATTCACTGTGCACTGTCAAATCTCTGTCTACTTATGATCATATGTCTTCAACATAACATTTCTCCTTTTGAAATGTATTTATTTAATTTTATGTATGTGAATGTTTTGTCTACACACATGTCTATACTTTCTCTGTGTGTTTGGTGCCCTCAGAGTCCAGAAGAGGGCATCAGATCCCCCTGGAACTGGCATTATGGGAGTTTGTGAGCCACCCTATAGGTGCTGGGAATTGAACCTGGGTCCTCTGCAAGAGCAACTGTGCTCTTATCCACTGAACCATCGCTCTTGTTCCTGTTTAACATTTCTCATTCTTGTTCTTCAAAACAAGAATGCTAGCCTATAGAGACATCGAAAGGGTTAAGAGAATTTGTAAATTATTACTAAAGATTTAACATTTTAAAACAAAGAAAACTCATGCTTACTTTTAATATCCTGCATAATATTATTGGTGCCCTAAATGAGTTCCAGACTTCTGTGGAGAGTTGCACATGGCACTGTCTACAAACATCACATCACCCATTTTGGTGAGTCTGGCCACATAGGCTTTGGGCAGGAATGGCTTAGAGAAGAATTTGTCCTATGGAGAAGGAATCAGTAAAGCTCAAAAAGTGGAGTCGGGGTAGAGCCATTAAAACACTGTTTGAAGACGCTCTTTAATTAGAATCTGTACGCAGACCAGCCACCTGTGTGGCTGGTAGCGTGGTCATCATGAACTACTGAATCGTCACTCTGCCATGGGACAGTGGCAGTGAAGGGCCTGGCTTCAGATTGTGCCCCAAATGAGGACTGAAGGGAAAATTGGCCCTGGTTTAATGCTCCTCGCTCAAGTGGGAAACAGCTCCAGAAGAAACTTTAGGCTGGAGTGGAAAATCTAACACCTAGAATCCACTGTGAGCTGGCACGATTCTTCTCCTCTCTGCCAATAGTCAGCCAGTCTTCCTCCCGTCTCAGGTCTCAGAACATTCCCAAGCCCTGCTTCTCCCCGTTTCAAGGGGTTCTGTCCACTTCCCCAGGGTTTAGTAGGATCCAACTGTGGGGAAGGGGCAGAGCCTGTTGCTTTTCTATTAAGGATGTTTGTTCATTGCGGAAAATATAAACTTATAAAACCTAACTACCACATTGCCAAGCAATACCACTACCTTGTAGCTGTAAACAGGTCAGCCGTCTCCTTCAGGATGGGTTCTTCTTCTTCTTCTTCCTATGTGATCCCCAGTAGCCATGGCCTCTTCATTTCTCTGGCAACTTAGAAAAAAGAAATATTGTTGGCTGGTGTCCTAGAGAATTTATTGACCCAGTGTGACCCTCATACTGCAGATGGCAGCGATATCCCAGCACAGGCTCGGGTTCTCAAAGAGGGGAACTTTCACAGAGATTTTTATTAACTAAAACTCTGCCCAGTATGAAGTCTGCTCTCAATTTTCTACGTGTCCTAAATCTTTTAACGATGATCCAGATCCCATGAGCAGAACAAAGGGGAAGGAGTACTTGATTTCCCCAAGTGTCTTCTTTAACTTTTCATGGCAGGTGTACCCACCAGACTTCCTCCAACATGTTGGCAGCCTACATTCCACAGCACAGAAGAAATTCATCGGGGCTGATCAGGAGCCAACCTGATTAGCCAGGTGGGGAGAAAAACACACTGCCAACAGCAATGGTTAGCTTCCAGAGAAATTACCATAGTTCGTCAGTAAGGGAGGAGGCCAAGTTCACACACCTATGTTGATTGTGGTACTCAGTACAATTACTCCAATTCTGAGAGTGTTCCCCGCCCCTCACAGGCCATGAGGATGCCCTGCATTGGGTGAGTGGTGGTATCTGAGCTTTCTCTGTATGAGTCACACGCCCACAAAAGGAAGTTTAGGAAAAGACAATACTTTTTCCTCTTCGAGGATGCTCCCGCCTCCAGAGGAAGTAGGGAGTGATCCAAGGAAGGAGGAAAGCCTTCTGGACCCAAACCGGGCTCTTTCAGATGTCCTGTGAGAATGTAGAGTGGAAAGAATATTCGGGTTGGACTGAGGAGTCAAAGAAGGCTTGGTGGGAAATGAGACTGAGGAATAGCTAGAACCCGACATGAAGGCCCTAGCGTTATGGTTAAATTAAAGATCTGGGTCCGAATCCTAGATCATAGTGGAAAATCTAATCAGCAGGCACATGCTTCAGCCTGACCCCTGGTCATATTAGCTGCATCTTCTGAGGAACTTTGGCACGAAGTTGGAGGGATCCTGCTTGGGAGTCAGCAATTCGGAAAAGAGTGGGGTGGCTCTGGGAAGTAGAGGGAAGCAAAGAGATTTCGGAGAGATTCTTGGGTAAAGATAACAGGCTTTATCAGTTGGCTGAACGACAGAAGGGCATCAGGCATGACCCTTCACCCCTGAGAGGCCAAGAGCTTACTTTTGCTTCTCAGATGATTTATCTAGAACAGTCATCAGATGAATGAGGAAAAGGATCCCAAGGGCTGCTCAAGGCTAGGTTTTCCTGCAGCGGTTCCCTGACTTAGCCACTTAGAGGGCATGCAGTCGGGTAGCCCTGGAACTTGCTGAGGTAAACACTGTAGAAACATGGCCACAAGCATGAAAGAAGACGAACAGAAAGCACACCTTGACATGAGTCTCCGCAGAACATCCCATGGGACAAAGCCTAGCATCCCATCAGCTAATAAAGGGGAAATGTTCCCACATTCCTGCTCCAGTGTCAGGACAGAACATCGAGGGTAGGAACTGAGAGGAAGGCAATGAAAAACCGGCATAAATGCAAATCAAAATCCAGAATGGGATGTGGTCTCCCCTCTGGCAGGGTGGGACTGCTGAAGGGTGAAAGGGTACGTGCTGGCAACGACACAGACAAAAGGGGCCCATGCACGCTGTTGGTGGGAATATAAATTGATAGAGCCACTGTGGAAACCAAGGGGGAATCCCTCATAATAAACAAATAATAAGTGAATAAGTAAATAACAAACCATTCTGTGACCAGACTATCTTACTTCTTGTCCAATGTCTGGAAGACATACAATCTTGGTGTGGACAAGTCAGCCTCTGCAGCCCTATCACACGATACCCGTCACACACAGAAGTGGGTGGGATAATTTACTCAGCTCACAGCCTCAAGGAGTTTCCGTCCATGGTCCTTGGCATCATTGATTCTGGGTTCATGGTGAGAGAGAATGTCAGGGCAGTAGAAGCGTGCAACAGAGGCTACTGACCCTGTGGCAAACAGGGTAATCAAGCAAGAAAGGGTTCAGAACAAGATCCAGCCCCCAGAGAAAGTTCCCGGACTTTCTTATTAGATTCTTGGTCACTGTTCTGGATAGTTTTATGTCAGCAGTACACAAGCTAAAGTCATCTGAAATGAGGGAACCTCAATTTAAAAAATGTTTCTGTAAGATCAGACATTAGTGGGAAGGAGATCCCGAATTAGAGATCTCCATTGGGTCCCTTCCCTGGGAGCTTGGGAAACCCATGATGAAGAGAAGAGGGGATCGTTGTAGGAGCCA